GTCCATGGGGCACAGCACGGCACGCCTGACACAGCCCACCGTGGTGGGGTGCAGGCCGTTCTCGACAAGGCAACAGGAGACGGCACGGCCGCGGGCGAAGCGGTCCAGCGCCATGAGGTTCTTCAGCTTCGGGGCGACCACCGCAAAGGGGACACCCACCACGGTTGAGATGAACACCTCCACGCTGCGCGGGGAGGTCTCGAAGTCCATCGCCGGTCCCGTTGTCTGACACAAAGCACGAACGCGAAAGGATAAGAAGAAAGAATAGAGAAAGAGAGGGGATGAAGAGGGGTAGTAACAATTAACTAGGAAAGGGGGAAAAAATACACAGTTAGGAAAGGGGTTATGCAATGCGGTTAGAGGTCTACCTTCTAGAAAAGCTGTGGAGATGGAAGTGTGGAGGAAGGTGGATAATTGACAATACCCTCAGGATTCTGCGCTATGATTCTTTTTAGCGCCATGGGATACACCATCAAAGCGATCCTTATAAGGAAACAACCACACTCATGATGTATATTCTAGTGTTTTGCTTTTGAAGTTTCGTTATGCACACGTGCGTTTGTGGTTTCACACACTCATCAGAAGACTAAACATTCGATTCACAACGGATTTACAACATAGGTTAGATAATTTATGAGGTGTTCCTTTTATTTCAGTTGTCAATATGCAAACTACACGTAATAAAAATCCTTCCGGCAAGGGAAAGATACATAAGCACATAAATCTATAATGTAATGAGGATATATGTTAAGATAATATGAGACGGGAGCATTACACAAGGATGAACACTACGTTTAATCAAGGTTTAGCTAAAGTCAATTGTCTTTCCATTGTACGACGTAAATATGGTTTATTTCCTTAGTTTGGCAGGGGAGAGTTTGATATAAAAATGTTGTTGCTTCCCAAAAGAATACCTATTGGGGAGCACCTTGCACAAACCCCACGAACACGCTCCAAAGCAACTGCTGGATTCCCTTGCTGGAGTAAAGATACCGTTCTCACGTACCACAAAAGCATAACAAGTCCAGACGCCGCGCCAGTAAAGGAGTTCACATTCATAACACCCGTCGAATCCAAGATCTTTACCGAAGCACATTTTTTTCGTAGTGTATCTTTTGCATCCTCGTTGATCACGTTTTGAATAAATAACTTCATAAACGAACGCACGCAACGATATGCCAAGTAGTTCCACGCCGCGCAAATACACATCGCCTCTTTCAGTGCATCGTTAGTTGCCTCGAGCTCGGCAAGAGACTTTTCGTTCCAAGAGATATAACGATGAATTGTAGGAAGGGTATGGAGTGCGGAGATTCCCACATTCATCGCAAGCTGCAAAGTCAACAACACATTAATATCCCCATTCAAAATGAGCTGCATCCCTGCGTGTTTTTTAAAGTCGCTCAAGGGCGTAATTTTCGTCCCATGCTTTGGCGTGGTGATGAGAAAAAGGGAAAGGGAAGCGGAAAGGATTTGTGTGCTCACGACGTAGCTCACCATCCCACGCGTGAGGAAAAGAGGAAGACATAGCCCGATCATCGTAAAGCCGGAAAAAAAAGCGAAAACAAGCAGCGTATCCTGCGCAACCCAGGCCAGAGGACCCATCGAATACCCCGCTGACAGCCAGCACAGATAAAAACAAAGCATTCGGCCAGCGGGGAGGATCACCTTTGGCGAAATACCCAGCAAGATCCCCGCGGGAATCACCGTACTGGCAATCGAAAGAGTAATAGGGAGTTGAGGGAAGTACCAAAAGAGAGCGGCACCCGCGGCGGCGGTGAGCATACCGGAGGCAGCTAAACCGTAAACCCGCAGAAGATGACGACGAATAAGTGCATAACGCTTGGGATACCTAAGCGGCTCAGTATGCGCTTTTATGGCCTCTACACCCTTTTCCAACGTGGCGCTCACAAAGCGTGGTAAAAGGCGGTGAAAAATACCCACACGATAGCATAAGGCAACTGTGTAAGCACCCAAGACGACGCAAGAGCCGCGCCGAAGAATCTGCAGCACTCTGACTTCATGAGCTTCCCCCATTTCATTATTCTCTACGTGAAAGGAGCGAGAACGTATTCCAAATGGCATTGTAGAAGTGCACAACTCAAGTATTTGGTTGATTAATATATTGAGAGAATTCGTATCTATTGTCCTTTTTTTAATATATATATTTTTTGTTTGGAAAAAAAATCTAGCTAAATACGAGTGAGCCTAAGGTGTTGAATACTCTCTTTTTGTCTCTCAAACAGTACAGTAAGTTGAAAATTGAATAATAGAACATGCTAGATTATTTTTCAATAATTCACATGGACAAAAAAAAACGAGATACTTTTTTTTTTTGATTTGTTATATAAAACTATACCCATTATTACCTCATGAGTTAAAATCTTCATATACAATGCAAAAAAGAAATCTATAAATACAAGATTGACTTGGAGATATGACCAAAGACATACATGAAATCAAAAAAAGAGGCTCAAAGGTAATACTATAGTATAAACCACACAAAAAAAGTCTGCCTCAATGGTATTGTATTAAAATAAAAATGAATGATCATACCTTCTCTCGATTGATATTTGTGTACAATGAGTCACGATAGCAAGATGCTAACCGACAAATATAAAAATTGAGTAAAAAATCTATTCAATATGACTACCTATTAAGGATGAGGATCACAGAATTGATAAAGAAGGAAATAGTGTATCGCCTATCATAGAAATACCGAAGTAAGTTTTCTAGAATTTATAAGGAGATGTTGTGTATCTTTTTCTCGTATTGATTATATACATATATATATTTATATATTGATTAAGACGCTCACATTTTTTTCCGTAGCGTTTGTTGGATTTCTTTTTACTGCTTTGTTACCACTTTCTAACTTCTATACTACAATAACAGAACCTTTTGTTTTCATCGTCGTCCAGGCCGCTCCGCAGATGGCGAAGGCGAGTTTCCAGTTTCTTCTTTATTCGTCAGATTAATTGTTGCCCTAGACTGAAAGCAGATCTCAGGGTGGGGTACAGTACGAACCCCACGCTGCTGCCTCATTGCCAAATTCGCCCCTCCTGAAGTAATGCTCAGCGAAGACTCCGAGAAAGTGGGGGTACTTCCCCTTTCTTTCAGATGTTTTAGGAACTCCTCCACACGCTCGAGGATAGGGGTAATAAAGCGTTGTGATGAGACGCTTTTTCTTTTTTGTGTAAACTCCCGCTGAATGCTGATCGCACGACGCTTTGTTGGCGCGCAAAAGGTCGGAATGGGGTTCATAGTGGCGTCCGAAAAAGCCTGCGGCACGGTGCTCGTGTTAATATCGTGCTCCGCTTGATCTTTCAGAGCTTCCGCCAGTGTGTAAAGATCCTTCAACACCGGCTTCGGAATGGCTACCCTCGACAACACCGACGAGAGCAAGAGTCCGATGCTGCTAAAGTTCGTCGGAAACGTGTAAAGCGCAACGGAAGAGTCGGGGTTTTTGTCATTCTTGACGGACTTCAGGCGGAGGTTGGTCTGCATACGAATAAGCTCCATCGCCGCTGGCGGGAGCAACCCCACGGCGGTTTCGTGGATCGAAGAGATCATCTCCGGGTCGTTCGGGGCGTGCGTGGCGATAAAGATGGCCTCATACCAACGAAGCTGATCGCATTCTTCCGCACGGCAGGCGAAGCAGGGCAGCAGGGCCTTCTCCTCTACCTCTTGAAGGGACCGCAGGACGCGCTGGGCGTAATGATAGCGCACGATCATGCTTTTCAGTGGATTCCTCTCAAAAGCCTCTACAGACGCCTCGCAGAGCGTCCGAAGCGAACGCGCGGGCGGCCACTCGGCGTCCGCCCTTTGTCCCTCATCGAGGCGGTAGCTGAGGTAGAGCATCGGCGGCAGCACACCCTGTCTAGAAGGGCCGTAAGGTAGGCTGGCCTGCTCGAGCCGCAGGAATCCGACCGTGCGCCTGCCTCTTGTCCGAGCGCTGTCCGGGACCCC